TCAAACAAAGACAAAACAAGCTTCACTTGGAAAGTACAGAAAGTTACGTGAAAGAGCTCAGCCCCAAAACGTGTGGCACACAGAGCACAACCTGAGGCATTTATCCTTTTCTGATATAATGTCCCTTCCATGTTGCTTCAGTCTGATGTTTACGTCAAAGGCAGTCTCTGGAGAAGTGGCAGAAGAGGTCTCAGAGACCAGGATGATGATGATGATGATTACAGTGAGAGGCAATTTGTCCTCTGGGGCCTCTGGACTTCTCCCTGGGCTCCATGTGAGGAAGGGTAGCTGGAGATAGGCGTCTTATTGAAAAATCACATTTACACCCCTGAGGGCACCATTACCTAGTGGTTGTGGTCCTTCCTCTCAGGACATGTCTAGAAAGTGATGCTGGAGGAAGGTAGGTCAACACCCAGACAATGACTTCTGCTGTCCTTCAATATGGTATCTAGTCTCCAAGGGCTACTGGGGAAGGTCACCCAGAACTATGGAGTGAGGTGACTCTCTACGTTGGTGACACTTAACTCTGGTGCTGCCTGTCTTCTAATATCAATGGCAGCAATCAGTGCCTCTGAACCCTCCCTAGGTTTTTTTTTCTATGAAATCTCCAAATATTCTTAAATTGGAGCTGATTTTAATATTCCCGGAACCTGAAATGAGATTTCATTTCCCATCTTTTCAATAATAATAATAATAATAATAATAATAATAATAATAATAATAATAATAATAATAATAATAATAATAATAATAATAATAATAATAATAATAATAATAATAATAATAATAATAATAAGAAGAAGAAGAAGAAGAAGAAGAAGAAGAAGAAGAAGAAGAAGAAGAAGAAGAAGAAGAAGAAGAAGAAGAAGAAGAAGAAGAAGAAGAAGAAGAAGAAGAAGAAGAAAGAAGAAGAAGAAGAAGTAGTAGTCTGGATAGTGGATGTGGCAGTGCCTGGAGACAGCAGAATAGACAAGAAAGAACTGGAGAAGATAACAAAATACAAAGACCTACAAATAGAAATAGAAAGACTGTGGCAAAAGCAAGCAAGGGTAGTACCAATAGTAATAGGCGGCTTGGGTGCAATCCCAAAACAACTGGAGCACCACTTGAACACCATTGGCATTGACAAATTCGTTATTAGTCAATTGCAAAAGGCGGCCTTACTAGGAACTGCTTCCATCCTGCGACGATATCTGTAATACCATCAAACATCCACATCTGCCTATCCCAGGTCCTGGGTAAGGACTCGATAGGTAGACAAAATGCCAAATCCAGTCTGAACATCTGGCTGACTGTGCGATGATCCATAATAATAATAATAATAGTAATAATAATGTTGGAAGGAACCTTGGAGGTCATATAGTCCAACCCCCTGCTCAGGCAGGAAACCTATACCATTTCAGACAAATGCTATGGACATGTCCGTCAGATTTTTTAGGCAGCCAACATGGTGGCAATCTGAGAGATGTCAATTTCTTCAAGAACAATGAAAAGGTCTTTCTCCCTTCCACAGCTGTAATTAAAAATATTAGCCTCCATAGCTGACAGCAGGTCCAGCACAACATCCCAAGTCTTTCTGGGGTTCAAATAATTGCCATGGAGATTGTAACCCAGATGGATGTTGGGAAGGAGTTGGAGATCCTAGTTGATATATTGGATGGCCAAAAGAAAGCAGACGACTTTCCAATAGCAGGTGGATTCTTCTGGAGAAGAGAATGATATGGATAAGATGCATGATAGGAACATCATGCATTCATTCTTCATTTAGTCCATATAACATATTTCGTATTACTCTGTATGGTAATCCTTCAGGTTCAAGGAAGACACACTAATGTGAAGTTCATCTATGGATATGGAGGTGGCTCTGCAGTCCTGATCTATAGGTCCAGAGCTTAGTACAATGGGGCACTGAAAGTACATGTTGTAGTAGCTGTGGGTGTTTTTCTGTGATGTTATGCAGTTTTGTATCAGTTTCTGTTGGCACTTGCCTTCAAGGCAAGGCTGGTGGAGATTCATAGTATAGGGCTCGCCAGAAGTTCTGTCAGGAACTGCAGCTTCCAGTTCTATTAAATTAAATTCCTAAATTATAAATAAAATAAAATAAAATAAAATATAAAAAAATTAAAGTGTATAATGAGCCATAACACGGTTTTAGCTGATTGAAGTGGGTGGACTCCTGCCTGAGGCAATCTACATTATGATTGGTTGCCAGGTGTAAAGGGCGAGTTTCCTCTTTTTCCCGCCCTTTATTCTTCTGTGTGCTTTGTATGCTGTTCTGAGATTTACCTGATGATTTACCTCATGATTGTAGTGATGTGCCTATCTTATTTGATGTAAATCTAGATGTTATATTTATTTATATAAAACTACAAATTCATTTCAGTGCCTCTGATTTCATTTGGACATTGGCTGAGCAATTCCCTGACAGTAGACCAGTAGGAAAGGGAGGTAGGCCCAGATACCTGGGCCAATAATCCAGAACAGAAATTTTGAGGCAACAGCAAGAGGTATCATATAACCTCTAATAAAATTATGTTTTTGCCTAAACAATAGTTGAAGAACAATGTGATAATTTTGTTCGATATTTTTGGAATCTTTGAAACAATATAATGAAAAACATAGGCCTTTTGACAGTTTGAACTGGATAGGCATTTTCCTTTCGTGGCTATTTTCATTATTCGTGTAACGCTGTTCCATAGGTATCGTACATGTTACGTAATTGTATAAAATCTATTTATGACTCATTTAAGTTCTTGAATGCTTGGCTAAATAAATCATTTTTTTTCATGATAGTTACTGGCTTCTGGACACAACTTGGAATAGGTTTAAATAAAAAGCTATTTCCACACTATAAGAACATGTTTTGTGGGAATCTCTTGAGGGACAAGGGAAATACGTACATGCTAACTAAAAAACTATGTGATAAAAGGAGGAGAGTGCAGCTGCATAATAGTCCCAAAAGAAACTTAAAACAATGTGTCCCAATGTATCCGGCTGTTATTTATTACTTATTAAATTTATATATTGCCCATCCCACAGTTGGAGGCAACTTTAAAGATGATTGCAGATGTGTACTTTCAGATTTACACTATTAATACATTAATCTGGTCATGTTTCCTATCTGGATTTACCTTGGAGGGCTGACAGAATATTGTTAGGCTGTCTTTTCTGTAAACGATTTCAAGCTGGTGTCAGATTTTAAAGCCACCATGTAAACCCCTCCAAAAATAATCTGATGTTCGCAATTGACATTCAACCCAAAGTTCATTAACTATAAATCATACCAACCGTATTTCATTAATTTAAATTAAGGCTATAGATAAATGTACCAAAAAAAATCCATTTTAGCTTTTGTCTGGGACCTTGTCATTCCATAGGAAAACAGAATTTGGCACCTTCACTGGAGAAAAACTTTTGCATGTGGGTTTATAGGGCTTCCCACAGTTGTGGTTTCTTTTCAGAACTCTTCGTCTGAAGCGCTTCCATAGTATAGCGTACAGGTTTATGGTGAGGAACCAGTGACACAAATAATATTTTAGACTGAAAAATACTTTCACATGCCTATTATCTCTAGTCACCGTCTCACACAGTAGATCTGAATTCAGTTATTTTCATCACCCTTAAGTAGTAACTCCTTTGTGAATTACAGCACTTTCTGAATTGCAGCAAAAGCTCCCAACCATTCTTACGGTGATTGTACTAATTTTATTACAGGCACTGCACTTTCCCAAAGTCCCTTTCCTCAGTTGATGCTTGACTCTTTTGGATGCCAGCAAGATTTAAATTTTCCTTTTACTGTTTTATTTGGAGCAAGAACAAGGGAAGGGAAGAGAGAGAAAATCACCACACATTTAGGTACACACAGCCTCTGTGTTATTTTTTTTCCAACTCGGCATCAGTGAAATCTCCTTCTCTTTATAGATTTCTTCCATAGCTACTGCTTGTCGTTTGCATCCCATTTAGACGGGTGGAATGTCAGATTGTAAAAAGATTAAACAAAACAAGAAAAATTATCCCAAAGATGCTTTTTCACGAGGCAACTGGACTTTGTTTTTCTTTGAAGACCTTTCGCTTCTCATCCAAGAAGCTTCTTCAGAGCTGATGAGAAGTGAAATGTTTTCAAAGAAAAACAAGAAAGCGCAATTGCCTCGTGAAAAAGCATCTTTGGGATAACTATGACCTGGATTGACCAAGAATCTCCATATTTAGCTATGCACTTTGGAAAACAAGAAAAGGTTGAACTCTAAGAGACTGAGGATTGAATTTCTGCCTGCACGTCTACTTTACTGGAAGGAATGCTAAGTTTTCTCTTGTTGAGATAAAGCAGATATATATTGATCAGATGGAGTTGCTTCAAATGATTGGGAAATCTGCAACTGTTAAATAATAGGCTGGACAAATCACTGAAAGGGCAATTAATGTCCCTAATCTCCACTGATACTCACTTTTCAGTTCTAAGCTCCTACTTAGCCAAAACCACAACAGGATTTGGGATCCACCTTGTTCTGATTTGCACTAGAAAGGCAAATTATACATGCTATCTAACAAGGTCTAGTATTTATTTGGATTATTGCCCAAATGCTCCTTGCATGAGATGTTAGATGACTACTGGTAGTCCTCGACTTACAACAGTTGATTTGATGACCATTCAGTTACAACAGTACAAAAGAAAGTAACTTGTTACTGTTTTTCACACTTGACAGTTGCAGTACCCCCATGGTCACATGATCAAAAGTCACGTGCTTGGCAACTGACTCATATTTAAAAAGGCTGCAGTGTCCCTGGGTCATGTCAACACCTTTTGTAACCTTACAATAAGCAAAGCCAATGGGAAAGCCAGATTAAATTAACAACTGGGTTACTATCTTACCAACTGCAATGATTCATTTAACAAATGTAGCAAGAAAAGTCATAAAATGGGCAAAACACATTCAACAATTCTCTTGCTTAGCAACAGAAATTTTGGGATCAATTGCAGTCATAAGCCGAGGACTACTTGTATTTCTACTGAAGCTCTTCCCACATTTCCTGTATTGATATGGCTCCGCCTATAGGTGGATCTTTCTATGGCAAGTAAGAGCGTAATTTCTCGCAAAGCTCTTTCCACACGCCATGCATTCATACGGTTTTTTCCCCATATGGGTCCTTTTATGGGAAGAAAGATCACAATTCTTCTTAAAGCCCTTTCCGCATTCCACACATTGATATGGCTTCTCTCCTGTGTGGATGCTCTTGTGGGAATTAAGATTACTGCTACAAGTAAAGGCCTTTCCACACTCCATGCATTTATATGGCTTCTCCCCTGTGTGGGTCTTTTTATGAGAGGTGAGGTCACAATTCCACCTAAAGCCCTTTCCACATTCTACACATTGATATGGCTTCTCTCCTGTGTGGATCCTTTTATGGGAACTGAGATCAGAATTCCACCTAAAACCCTTTCCACATTCCACACATTGATATGGCTTCTCTCCCGTATGGATCCTTTTATGGGAAATGAGATCAGAATTCTTCCTAAAGCTCTTTCCACACTCCACACATTGATATGGCTTCTCTCCTGTGTGGATGCTCTTGTGGGAATTAAGATTACTGCTACAATGAAAGGTCTTTCCACACTCCATGCATTGATATGGCTTCTCTCCTGTGTGGAACCTCTTGTGGGAATTAAGATTACTGCTACTTAGAAAGGTTTTTCCACATTCCATGCATTGATACGGCTTCTCTCCTGTGTGGATTCTCTTGTGGGAATTAAGAGTACTGCTACAAGTAAAGGTCTTTCCACACTCCATGCACTGATATGGCTTCTCGCCTGTATGGATCCTTCTGTGAGAAATGAGACTCCAATTCTGACTAAAGCCCTTTCCACACTCCATGCATTGATAGGGCTTCTCCCCTACGTGGATCCTTTTATGGGAGGCAAGATTAGAATTCCACCTAAAGCTCTCTCCACATTCCACACATTTGTACGGCTTCTCTCCTGTATGGATCATCTTGTGGGAATTAAGACGACTATTACGAGTAAAGGTCTTTCCACACTCCATGCACTGATATGGCTTCTCTCCTGTGTGGATCCTCTTGTGGGAAGTAAGATTACTGCCATAACTAAAGGTCTTTCCACACTCCATGCATTTGTAAGGCCGTTCTCCCGTGTGATTCCTTTCATGAGTTCTTAGAGAGTGATTATCACGGAAGGTCTTTCCACATTCCCTGCAGGCATATCGTTTCTCTGCTGAATGTGTCTTTTTATGGGAAATAAGATTATCAGATTTATTAAAGCTCTTTCCACGCTCCATGCATTTATAAGGTTCTTCTTCCATATCGATGCTTGTACGGTTAGGAAGCAAACTGACTTGAGGAAAGCCTTTTTTAATTCCACTTTGTGGTTGCTTTGTTTCATTACTCTTTGGCTGCACTTGACCTGCAAAGTTCTCTTTTCTCTCTTTCAGATGGATCGCTTGGCATTCTTCCTGGCAATTCTTATCCTCTTGCCCATTAAAGCCTTGAAAAAGAAAAACGAAAACTGTAGCAAGACTAGGGGAAGGACCAAATCTTTTCTTTTGAAATTTAGCAAAATATATTTAGGCGGTTTTGCTGGCAAACATGAAGATTCTAAACCAGTGGTGGCGAACCTATGGCACGCGTGCCAGAGGCGGCACTCAAAGCCCTCTCTGTGGGCACACCTGCTGCCGCTGCCGCCAGATCACGCAAGTCCATTAGGCCGCCGCTGGCGCCTGGAGCGGCAGCCCCACCCAGCACAAAGGAGGCGAAGCAGCTGGCTAGCAAGCTTGAGTAGAGTTGGTAGAGCAGGCCCCCGTGTGCTCGCTGGCCTGTGTGTGAGGGGGCTGATTGGTGTCAGGCAGCAGCCGTCCGTGCCTCGCCTTGCCCCACAGCAATGGCACCCCTGCCCTACCCCACAGGACGAGCCTCCTGCCCACCGCCCCCCTGAGACCCCCTGGATCTCCCCCAATCCTGCCCAGCCCCCACAGGCATCCCCCCCGAGCAACATCAAGGTGGTCACGCCCACCCTGGCCATGCCCAATCTGCCGTGACCACTGCAGCCACACCCACCCAGTGGGCCACGCCCACGCCCACCCCCGAGGGCACCACAATGCTGATGCCGCCCTGGCACTTTGCGATAAATAAGTGGGTTTTGGGTTGCAGTTTGGGCACTCGGTCTCTAAAAGGTTCGCCATCACTGTTCTAAACTATGCTGTTACCAAAGACATATTTCTAAGTGGGATCCCACCAATTCTCATATATCAAAACTGGATAACCTCAGAACGAAACTAAGCAAAACCTTGTCCTAAACTTTGACCAACCATGTGTGTCAGCCTGTTGATGACCTGGGACAATTCCATGGGGGCCACAAACTCCCACAGTGCTATTGGACACTGTATAATGCTGGGACAACAACATACCCACCGGTTCAATGAAAAACCTCATCTCCACTTGTCTGTCAGACAGAATCTTTGAAAGTCAATAATGTTTCTGGATGGCAATAGCTCCCGACCCTCAACTTGGAATGATGCCAAACTCAGAACACAAGTGGGCACATCTCAGTCAGTTTGGTCCAGTGGTTAAGGCACCAGACTACAAACTGGGAGACTCTGATGTAGAGATGGGGGTCAGGTAGAGGTCGTGAGCAGCAAACTGCCCTTCCAAAGCCTGCATGCCTCTTCTCTCTACATGATCTCATCCATTCACATTGCCATGGCAATGTGGGAAACTACCCCAGGCTGGTACATATCAGCTAGGTTATGGCAGATATGTACCAGCAGATATGGCAGGATGTGGCAGAAAACTGCTCCTTGGCTGTGGCCTCCTAGCTGGTATCTTCTTAAGGATTGGCAAGGGGTTTCACCAATAGAAATGCTGTTGCTATGCTGATGCCATGTTACTTTATGCTATTTGGAATACCTGTATAAAAGGCAATAAACACTGCGAAGGCAGTCAGCCATATTTGCACCCTGCAATGACTAATCACTGATTCCTTCACTCCGAGTTCTAGTTCTGCCTTAAGTGCGAATGCTGGCTGGCTGACTTTGGGCCAGTCTCTCTCAGCCCAACCCATGCCACAGCATTGTTGTTAGAGGGAAAATAGGAAGAAGGAGGAGTACTACTGCCTTGTAGTAGTAGTACTACTAGCTTGTAGTAGAAGGAGGAGTACTACTACCTTGAGCAAAAAAATAACAAAGTCAGGATATAAATAAAAAGTGATATTTTCTTATCAGAAATAACATCTAAGCCCCCCACCCATTCCTTCTCTACGTTTCTGAGCACAGATGGGGGTTCTTACCCAGAGAAGCCAAATTCCTGGAATTCTCCAGCATGACTTCCCCGTGGAGTGCTTTTTGGTCAGGGTCCAGCTGAGACCACTCCTCTTCAGAGAAGTACACGGCCACTTCCTCCAAAGACACGACATCCTGGACAAGGAAGCAAGTTTCCCAATTAACAGATAATCCCAAGAATAATGTGACAGTTTTCTTCCACCAATTAAGCAGGGAGATCCTGTGAACAAAACAGGCATCTTCTGCAGAATTCAGAATGAGATCTCACAGCTTTTGGCTGATGGCACAACTGAAGCACACTGGATCAAGTTGGAAGTATTTGGAATGCCTTTCAGTGTAGCCAACTAAAACAGGTTTTTTTTGGTCAATTAGTAGTTGGGTATTAAACCCACTACTTATCACTGGCTCCAATTCTTCCTAGAATGAGCAGAAGGAAATACAGGGGAAATCCATCTGATTTTTTGCCTATGGCAGTGGTGGCGAACCTATGGCACGGGTGCCAGAGGCAGCACTCGGAGCCCTCTCTGTGGGCACACACACCATCTCCCCAGCCCCGCCTCCTCCCACAGCCCCCTCCTCACCAGCAGCCCCCCCCCGGAGGAGAGTCACCCCTGGGCGCAGCCCACGCAAAGCAGCGCAGCCAAGGGCATGGTAGCCGGGCAGCAGGGACAAGACTCTGCCCTTGTGCCCTGTCGCGCGCAGATGATGCTGCGGGGCATGGGTGGAGGGCGTGGCCGCCATGGCGCTGCTGGGCTACCTGGGTGATCTGTGGCGGGCCGTGGAGGTGGTGGGTGGCCCAGTGGGCAGGGCAGAGCCGGGACAGGCGTGGGGGGCAGTTTTGGGGCACTCAGTCTCTAAAAGGTTCGCCATCACTGGCCTATGGATTGCTTTATCAACTGAGGGAACTCCACTCCACACCTTCATGGAAGTGTTGAGAGAGCTCGTAATGGTATGTGAGAATGACCCTGGGAGAGAGAAAAGAGGATCTGTGGTCAAGACAACATCTGGTCAATGAAATCTGAGCCTGAAGCAGGAGGGCAGAGAAAATTGATCAGAAGTTAAGCCGAGTGTGAATTTTCAACGATATGACCTAAAATTTGTCTCGCTTGGAAAGAGCAACATTATACATTAGAAACAGCAATATTATACATTGAATATTATACAGAATAAAATGAAACCCATCCAAGATTCGTGGACCTTTCCGACATTTCTCCTCCTACCTGAGGCAGAGGTTCAGCCACTCTTTCAGCTCTATCACAAAGAGAAGATGGCTCTAAAAATATGAAGGGCGGCTTTCTATTACCTGTGAGATAGAGAACAGTGGAAGCAGAGAGATTTCACTCAAGATGAACAAAACAATCAGCTGGATGCCCAAACCTCACATCACATGAAAAGAGCTTCTGTTACCTAGTCTGGTGTCCTGACTTCGATCTTGCTGGAAGCTCTCCCTGAATAACGGCTCCTGGGAGGATTTGGACGAATCTTTCCGCCTCTGGGGATACTCAGCGGTAGCTCGCAAGGACCTCTGGACAAGACGTGGCGCGAGAAAGAAGGGAAGAGCACAGAGACAGAAATGAATTATCAGTATTGCACACGCAACCTAGCAGACCCCAATGTCCATCGATTAAGCTGAAAAGTGAGAATGGAAGAATTGCCCCAAATGCATCCTCTGGAAGAAGAATAGAACAACAGGCCTTAGGAGTTCATAATCCCAGACAATTCTGCCAGAGAGACATTGACAAATTCAGAGAGATTCTCTTTAAAACTGCCATAATTACATTCTCACACCTGCAACTCTCCTTGCATCTTCTCAGACTCCTGGGTCAGCAAGAAGCCTTCGGCCAGGGCCACCGCCTGGGAACTGGTTTCCGCTCCACACTCCCGCACCCATTTCGCCATCTCTGGGGAAAGGACAGCCAGGAATTGTTCTAGGAGCACCAGGTCCAGCATCTGGGCCTTTGTGTGTCTTTCTGGCTGTAGCCACTGACGACAAAGGCGGTGAAGCTGACTGCAAATATCTCGGGGGGGCCTCCCC